ATCCGTGAGCCACGCCAAAAAATGTCCTATACAAGTGCAAGTAAAGCTTAAACCTCGAGATTTCCACTACCAAACAATAAAAATATATTCATTTTGAAAAACGTATAACCAGCAGAGATGGGATAGGTTCGTGTTTTTCGACAACCAAACCGAATCGAACCGAAACTTCCTCAAACCGAACCGTTCCCACCTCTGATACTTGCAAGCAACATTAATAACGTACTAGAGATCAGCAGACAAAACTGCATCGTCGCATCTCGATATCTTTTTGCGGTCGCGAGTTATTCGGAAATCAAGAAACTTAAAAAAAACGTCCTGAATTCGGGACACTGGTAAACAAAGGGTTAATTGACGTTTATAAAAAATTAAAGTTCACTCTTGGTATTGATTATATGGTGAATTTTTTAGCATGAATTTTTCCATTATTTCACTATAGAGATAAAAAATTATTATTTTAGGAAAAGGAAACTATCCAGGAAATTATCCGACTAAATGATCCGCCAATCAAAACTGAACAAAGTCAAAATCGACTTCTTGGTTAAACATCCGCCCGGTTACCCACTGTAAGAGGGCACTTTGAGTACATTTGCCAAGATAAAGCACTAAAATAAGTTTGAAGCATACCGACATTCTTTTCTCACAAACTAATTTCTATCAGATAATTCCACATGATAAATGTGAATGAATTTTACTAAAACAAGGAACGTATTAAGAAAAACGAACCATTTATAAAAGGCTCGTATTTAATTGTTCAGTATTTTATTATGAGTATTCAGTAAATTTTTTATCACATGTTCAGTAGTTCTTGTTCAGTGAAAAATTATTTTTTGCTCAGTAAATAATTCATGTTTTCAGCTCCAATTCCGGTTACTACAAATGAGAAAGAACGGCTCCGGTTCGGTTTCCAAAATATCATGTGGAACCGAAACCGTTAATCATCAGACAGATATGAAAATTTGAAATATATTTTGAGAAATTTTCATTATTTCATTGTTAAGATTAAATGGTTTTTCCACGGTTCACGCTCACCCTCACCCTCACCCACATCCTCACCCCGCACTCGAGCCTACAGCTACAGCCAAACTCCACACTCTCCACTCCATTCCACACACACAAATTATTAATTTACTGTGCAGATATGATAGTTACCAAACAGTTTGATTTATTTACTGATAATTTTGTACATAATACTGAGTAGAGCGTTTACATTAAAATACTGAGCATTTAATTTGTTCCCTTTATAAAACAGTGTCTGTAAGTGTGTGTCATCTCTTTTTCTTTATCTCTATTGATTGTGAGTTAGCAATGGTGGAGAAAAAATATATCTTCTCGGTGCAGCGAGAAGATATATTTATATTTTTTCTCTACCATTGACGCATCATTCGGGGCTGAGCCACAAGCACAATCGTATTGGCTTAAAATCACCATGAAGTACTACGACTCATTGCTTTTATCAGGCCAATAAAACGTCTTTGTTCAATATTCTTAATTTGAAACAATTCTTCAAGATTTCTAAATTTTACGATAATTTATTAAAGTATTATATCCCTTTTACTTCGGAATCAAAATGCATAAGAGTTTCGAAATACACTTATTTGATGCATAGTATTTTTCCTGTCAAAACTGCACTTATATATTGTACTTATCTATTTTCTCCTTGGCTTGTCGCACCATAGCAAGAGAGACCAGAAAATTAAACAATTAATTAAAATTAGTTATATTTTTTGTTGTTTTTGAGTTGTTTATTTATTGTAGTTTTTAAGGGTCTACTTTGTTTATATTCTCCATCCATATGATTAAACTAAATATCAGTATTTTTTTTACATTTTGTTATCTTTTTGTACCATGTTTCTTCGACTAAATATGGTGAATTAGTAATGGAATCACAGTGGACAACATCTTCAACGTCGCTTACAGCAGCAGCATCAGCATCACGCGGTTTAAATCATGAAAAACCGACATTAAGTGTTGTAGGATTATTGTTAAAATCTGTCAGACACCTTTGTTTATCAACATCTAAACTATGGACATTTCTCTTGTTGAATATTCGAAAATTGTTATTTTTATTTATAAGAATATGGGCATGTTTGTATGTATCAATCAGAATGTCAAAGAAAAAAGTAGGTGGCTAATTTCACATAGAATTTTATTTTATTTTTTTCTTAAGTATAAGAAGGGGAAGAAATACACGGATTTTACTGAATTTTTTAAGTGTGCCGTATCTGAGAGTGATAGTTAGCTCTTCGTCCTCAGTTTTAGTTTTCCTTATTTGAATTAACTTCTGCTTTCCATTTCAGTTGATCCATTTTCAAGAAGTCAAATACTACAACTGTCCATTATCTCCATTGTCCACTCATAGGCTTCGTAAGTAAATAAATGACTTCATCTTATGATTATTATTTTTCATTTGCAATTTCTAGATTTTTTACCAAAAAAAATTCTCGTCTTAGACTTAGATGAAACGTTAATTCATTCACATCATGATGGACTTAGTAGAGTAGTTACAGTAAAACCTACGGGTCTGCCTGATTTTATTATACGAGTGAGTCTAAATTCACTGATCTTAGAATTTTTCTGGTTATTTTTATTCTAATTAGGTTGAAATTGAGAGACATCCAGTACGATTTTTTGTCTATAAAAGGCCACATGTCGATTATTTCCTAGAAATTGTAAGTCAACATTTTTCTTTGTGTTTTTTTCTATCATATGAGATCGTGAGAATTGTTGTCACAACACACACTCATTACAATGCAAAACTGCGTCGCATTAAATTTTCTTATGGCAATAATCACCGTAACACCACCATATGAACTTTAATTTTCTTTTTATAAAATTGAGCACTGAAACAAGTCGATGAGAAAAACAAAAAACTTATCTTTTCTTTATTTAACTTATCCTTGTTGTTGTTTTTTAATATGTCTAGGTGAGTAAATGGTATGAACTAGTCGTGTTTACAGCATCGATGGAAATTTATGGTGCTGCTGTCGCCGATAAATTAGATAATAATAAGAATATACTGAATAGAAGATATTATAGACAGGTAACTGAACTTTCATGAAGTCGAAGTGCCTTCTGTGAAAAGTACGCTGAGAATCTATAGTGTGAGACGGCATGATTTGGTGATCATATTTCGTCACACACTTCAGACGTACTACGTTCAAACATCGGTACCGTCTAGTTGTGGACTAATCTTGGGCGAGTTAGATATGTCTTAGTGCCTTGGATCATCCACTCCACTGCATACTCACTAAGTTGTGACCTACAATACAGTTCTTCTGGTCGGTCTTCGAGACTTTTCAGAGAGCTAGCACGCGATTAATGTGTATTGGGCGAAAGAGCTCTGTGTTTTTAGGCTAGCCTTTGGTCAGAGCTACAGTTTATGACTAGTAACGATGTGGATGATCATGTCAAAAGCTTGTCGACTCTTCGAAAGATACCGGGTTATTAAAGACTCTGACTACAAGGTGGGGTATTCTTTCTTATTCTCTACTGAATGAAGTGTATTCACAATTTGCATAATCAAAACTGTGCAGCTAACTATGAATTTTTTTTTGTTTTTCTCTGTTTAGCATTGTACACTAGAATTCGGGGCATATTCAAAAGATCTAGCAGCCATTAATGATGATTTATCTCGGATATTTATTTTGGATAATTCACCAATTGCTTATCGATCATATCCATCAAATGCCATACCAATTAAATCTTGGTTTTTTGATCCAACTGATACTTGTTTACTAAGTCTGTTACCATTTCTAGATGCATTAAGATTTTGTCGTGATGTTCGATCTGTTTTGGGTATGAATTTACATTTACATCAAAATTTATTAACAAGCACAGCCAATTCTTTAACAACACAAGTTTTACCATCATCGACACATTAAGAAGGAACGACTTGCTCAACTCGGTGGATTATTGTTTTGTTTCTTTTCTTATATATGTAAAATATTTTTTTGTTTTTGACACTGCTGTTATGTTTATTCTCTCATTCTGTTTGCTTAATTCACGTATACACGGATTGTATCAATTTATTTGATATATTTACAATTATCCCGGTTATATTATTATTATATTCTGTTACGTTAGTATTTGTTGAAAAGAAAAAGAAATAAACAAAAATACAACACTGAAAGATGATTAGTGATATATCTATTTGTGAGAGAAAATGTGCAAGTCGCAATGCTATTCTCTGCACAGATGCGTTTATAAACCAGAAATAGTATGGAGAATAGCCACTGAATCTCCTTAAATGTAGCACAGCACACAGTATTCATTTTAAAATCAATGTGTCTTTTCTTCTATTGTCTTCCAAATTACAACAATGGATGTATAAAAAGAAAAGGATTTAGAACAGTTATTTTTATGAACATAATTATGTTTACCTCTTTAATCTCTTGAATGCCCTAAGGCATCCATAGATGACATAAGAGAAATTTTATATGTTGCATATGCTTTTTCATTTTATCGATTTAACAAAAGAAAACCGCCAGAAGAACACGTGCCACGAAAACAACAGAACATAAAGAGAGATATTTAACTGTTTTTTACATACGCATGCCTTTAGACGCGTAAGAGGACAAATAATGGTATTCAAGAGGTTAGGATATGTTAGTAGATGTCCAGTTTCCGTTGTTTCGTTTTAACAACTAGACTATTCAATTTTAGAAACAATGTTCATGATTTTTTTTTTAATAGTTGTACTTTATATCGTCTGGACGATATATAAATATCTTTTTCGTGCCACTTGGGTGAATCCAAGTGGAAAATATGTACTGATTTCTGGATGTGATAGTGGTTTTGGTTTTGGTTCAGCAGTAGAATTAGATCGACAAGGCTATAGTATTTTTGCTGGAGTCTATACAAACGAAGGCAAAAAGCTTTTAAGCGAAAAATTATCATCGAAAGCAACCGTTTTCAAATTAGATATCACCAACCAACAAGATATTGAAAACTGTTTAGAATTAGTTAAGCGTAAAACAATCAATTTACATGCACTGATAAATAATGCTGGTATTGGAAAAGGCGGTTTGATCGACTGGACGTCAATGTCCACATATCGTGAAGTAATGGATGTAAATTTTTTTAGTCATGTAGCGATGACAAAAACATTTCTCCCATTATTATGTCAACAAGCAGATAGTCGTGTTATTAATTTATGTTCAATGTGTGGATATTTTTCAGCACCTGGTCTTTCAGCCTATTCAGCATGCGCTGATTCGAATATTACATTACCACTCTACTACATAAATCTTTATTTCACTTTAAATAAAAGTTATAGATGAATAGTTCTTAAGTAAATATGCTTTAGAATCATTTTCAGACTGTTTACGACGCGAAATGTTTGTGTTTGATTTGAAAGTGAGTATCATTGAACCTGGCTTTATGAAAACACCAATTATCGAAGGACATTTGCAAGAACAAGAAAAACTGTGGCAAAATTTATCGATAGAAATAAAAGAACGATGGGGCGAATCCTATGCGAAAAACTCAATTATACCACAAGCAGAAAATTTTTTTGTAAAATATGCTGAAAATCCGAGCAAAGTTATAAGAGTCATTCAACATGCTGTATCAAGTAGAAAGCCGATGATTCGTTATCGTCCCGGTTGGCAATCGTCATTTCTAGTTTTTGCATTAGAATTTTTAATACCGACACGGCTAACAGATTTTATTTTACAATTAATATATTTTTCTGGTGAAAGACCAGCTGCTGTTAACCGACAATTAGCTAAAGACTGAATTTAATTATCAGTTTTGTTTTTGCAAAATAAACCATATTACTTATAAACAGTAATTTTAATGTAACTATCAATAATATTATTTACTATTTTTATAGAAAAATATAAATCTGTCCTTCAAAAATCCATCATGGTTACAGTTTCAAAGCCTTTTTTGTAATATTTCATTGATAATTAATCACAGAGCCAGATTTTAGAGTATGTCAAGTTACCTAAGTGGGGAGATTTTCCTGACCAATGAACAAGTTTTCGTTGAGATACAAAAGTTTTACTGTGCAAAAAAGCCGAAATATTCAGTTTGCGTGCTGGATTCGAAATCAAAATTTTTTAACTACTTAATAATTTAAACAAGAATGTTTTTGCTCTAATATTGTTTGTTTCTCATAAAATTCATCCTCTTTACTTGATATTGTTGAGTAATACATCTTTAGAAACGGTGTTACACGTTTGACATATTATATGTCCGATCGCACTCAGTCTCTTTGCTACCGATCCACTATTTTTTTGTAGCAGTTGAATGACTAGAATTCTGAAAGTGTAGAAGTTTTGTTTGTATATCAAATGTAAGGGCTAGAGAATTAAACACTGAACAATATGAATTTTCTGGAATTGTTTGGAATTAGTTAAAATTTTCAGAATTTTGCTGTTTTCGATAGTTCTAGCTCTTAGTAAAATACGGTTTCACATTGAATACTCATGCTTCTCCACTTCCTCACCCAAATAAGCAATTAAACTTAATTTTTTCATGATTTTCTTTTGTGAATTGAAGATTCAGCAGAAAGATTACAGTTCTTTTTAAAACTTTTTCGTTCGTTGTGTGATTAAAACGATATTGAGCTGTAGCTATGTTTCTTAAGCGAACAATGCAAACTGATGAAAAATGACAAAAATTTATTTATCTTACTATCAAAAATACTAAACTAATTGTTTCGTAGAGGGCAGCATGTATTAGAACACAATAAGATGTATGATGTGCATTATATATGCGGCTACCAGAAAGCTTTTTATTTTTGCGAATTATCACATTTTGTTTTTTAAGTTATAAATATCAGCAAATGGATGAGAAACCGAGAAAACAGAGATTTTTTTCTAGAATATCAGCTGTATTTATCTATAATGATGTCAACTTCTCATCTAGTACTAACATAGATTGTGAGAGGCTAATTGTCTCACATACTGAGTTCTAGAAAAATAATAATAATAAGATTATGGATGAATTGTTGGGAAGCACTCACTGTAACTGACGATGATGATATTTTATACATGAAAAAAAACTTGATGATGTCGCTAAAAAAATATCTAATCGTAAGTTAAATTACACACCTGTTAACGTTGTTTATTAACAGATTTTGATGTATTACAATTTCAATCCTTATCGTTCCTCCACATACTGTAGCTATACATTCTTGAAAAGTTTTTTGAACTATATATCAGTTACAATTTGTTCTTTGTTTATTGATACCATCTTTGACACAATGCACAACTTGTTTATTGGTTATTGAACAAACTATACATTAGATTTTTTTAAGGATTTAATTTCTTCCATATATAGTTGTGATAACATGTAAATTGATGATGTAATATCGAGAGCATACAGTAACAAAACTGTTACTAATATCGTCTATTTTTATACAAAAAAGAATCTAATCGAAACAAATTTTTTGTCCATTTTTCTCTCTGACCATATACCTAGACAGATTATTTAAATGTCTAGTATACTCACAATGAAAAAGAAAAAAAAATGAATAAATGAATAATGATGATTATGTGTGATGCTTTCCCTCTCTTTTTTTCCGTACAATGAACACTATATAATGAATATATGTACAATATTTGTTCTGTTTTAACACTCCCACCTCAAAAAAAGTATTGTATACCTGTACACATAGCTCTTTATCTCATTCATCCCTTCTATTCTTTCATCAACATTCAATTAGGCATGTCCACATAATATAAAAATCATAAAGAAAAACGTGGTATGATAGATCATACACATACATATTCTTTTGTCATCTGATTATTTGTCCTGTGTATACTATAAGACAAAAGAAAGAACGTATTCTGTTATATTAAAAATCAAAATTATGGTTGAAAAATGAAAAATCAAATCGGAGAAACTGATAATCAATCTTCAGCTGTAGAAGCCTCTGAGAAAATCAGTCAACAACCGAACAAGGGACGGGTGAAACAAAGTATGTATTATACAATCTCCTACGAATGTATATATTTATTTTAGTTCTGCACATATTTGCATAAAGAACAAAGTCTATTAGATATATACTCGATTACATAACGGTATCCTTCTGATCAGGATATATCTTTTATCTTACAAGATCAAAATAAAATCAGTCTTACTTTTAGTTGGTTGATTGATTGGTTGTTCGTAAGCTTCAATGTAGAAAGATGCATCGAACACTTAATAAACTGCGAGTGTATGTGAGGAAAAATCTGATAAACTCTATTAAAAATATTGTATCTTTATACTTGAGAATCATGCCACACAGTCGTATAGAGTAAAGTGTTGAATTGGAGCCAAAAACGAATTTGCCTAACTTGTGATTTCACAGTATCTCAGGGAGTTTTGAACCGATTCTCACGAAAATGGGAAGGTTTGTAGATAAGAATCTTAGCTATTTAATGATTTAAGAACTATTGAAAAACGCCCAGAGAAAACGAATCCCAGAGAACTATACCAAGAAGCGTGTGTTTTCGGTTAGCTAAGAGTTTGTTTTCGGAATCGTACAGCGAAATGCGTGCCTAAATAGTACCATCTAGTTGAAATTCATGGAGTTTTCAATGTTTGCGTAAAATCTATTTTCCATAATATTTCAAAGGATATTGTAGGAAATAGTTTACCACTCAATTGACTAAACTGTTCTGTATGTAATGAATCGATTTCGAGATTTATGCGACAAAGAATGGTAATATTATAGGCTCACAGTAATAGAAGCATATGTCTTATCTGTAGAAACGTCTACTGCATCGATAGTAGGGTTTAATTCTATAGTTGTGAAGTAGTCAATGGTACTATGTCATAAAATCTCAGGTTTTGAAAGACCAGGTCACCAAATCCGTTACCGATAATCAACTGCTTCAGCGCGCACAACCTTTACTATAATCTGTGCGTGCCATACACGAGGTGCGTGTTTCTCTTAAGCAATGCTAATAAATCTTCAGTCGGTGGAACGGACGACTTAGATTTTCTATAAAAACTGACAAAAGTTGCATAAAAAAGTAAGAATTGTATCAGTTCAAATTAAAGTCATAACTTAAACAAAAGTCTGAAAAAGCTGAATAATAGGTGTTATCCTATTGAAACCACTGTTGAGTGTAAAGTTTTTATAGTTATAAATAGTCTTAACTTTGAACTACGATTAAAGTTATAAATAAGGTTAAATATTTTAGTTTTAGCAACCTCGTGACATGACAAAACTTATCTCACTTGATTAAAAAAATTGTTTCCTAGGGAGGGCAGAAAGATCTTTAATCTTCTATTTGTGATTATGAAATTAAAGTTACACCTCTCAACTTCCATGCTCACTTTCACTCCACCGGAGTCCGACAAAAAATCGAGAAATCTATTAGGTAGACTAGCTGACGGTATAATAAATCTGTTAGTCAAGTTTCTTATTAAAATTCAGTTCAGTTCTACTCTTCTACTTCGATCTTTTTGAATCAACATTGTGTGTACTCAAACTGAAATTTTGCCGATCCCTTCTAATTAAACTATTTATAACTACTTTAACCCTAATTATAACTTTTAACCTTTAGAAAATAGTTTTAAACTCTTCAGTGCTTTCTACGCATAGGTCGTTCTATCTGTCGTACGGGTGGTAGAAGCAACACATCATTGAGACACTTGATAGACCAGAGCTGTAATCGGTTAGAGGTTTTCTAACCGGTCCGAACGATTTCCAGACCAGTTGATAATCTTTCCTGACCACTAAGAAATCCGTGGAAAAACGACCGGTTAAAACCTTCTTCTTGGAAAAACAGCGCAAAATCCATTACAACAACAGCGATAGATTGCAAGAAATTTCTCTATAAACTTTTTTTTTTGTTCTTAAGGTCATCCTCCCGATCAGAAACACAAATTCTTTTATCAAAAGTCGATATTGAGCTAAACACATCATTAGATAGCCCATGGTGTCTACTAATAGTCACAATTCATAGCTGTCTGGTCTTCATCGAAGGTTTTTGGAAAAGTTCCGAAAGCCTTAAAAAACTGACTTTTCGAAAAATCTCATCTTCTGATAAAAAACAAATCCAAAAATATCTTCAATGACACAAGGATGTATAGCGAACATTTTTGATCAAAAAAAGACATCGCCCAGCTCCGGATGTTTTTCTAATTAGAAGTAACGAGAGTCGCTAGAAGCCCTAAAATACGTATCAGACGTCAGCGCCACCATATCTCGATAGACACGTTGACCTTGACAGCGTTTCGTAGCTGCAAGATTTCTCGGTAACGAAACGTCGTGAAGAGCTTGGAAAGGTCTTAAATTGAGGTGAAGACTCAGTGTTATAGCTTAATACAGCCGGATTTTTAATTTTCAGTTTACTTTTTGAGATAAATAAAGTTTTTCGAAAAGTTAGCCGTAACTTTTTCCAACTTTTTAAAGAAAACTTTTAGAAAAAATAAAAAATAAATTTCAAAAATTCGGCAGTTATAGCGACAAGTCTTGACTATATTTTGACACCATACCGAAGTCTATATCATTAGAATTGGAGACGAAATCTTTGCCGCACAGACACCTACTTTTGACCCTTATGTTTAAGATAATTCTTGGAAAACTCAACATTTTGAGCTGAAACTTTTCGTCTCATCTCTCTAAGGTAAAATACACATTCTTCGAAAATTTTATCAAGATTGAAAAATATTTTCAGTCTCAATCGATAAAAAACCGGCTGACTGAGTTTTTCAATTGGTCCAGTTCCAATTCTGTAGCAGACAGAATGAGGTGAGTCCCCAGGTCGAATTCGCCCGATCGGACCCTTTTAAATCCGGTGATTTCCAGAGATCGAGCGTCCAATCGGATCCGGAGATCGGAATCTGCTCAATTCCTTCGCGTTCCGATATTTGATTCCTGAAGGATCCGGAGATCAGATCCGATAATTTCCGGTGACCCAAAATTGACGGATCCTGTGATGTGCACTTTATTCTTTTTCTTTCTTTCCTGTGCGCTTGATACATTCACCGTTTTATTTGACGACAGGAGCACTTTAAATACGACACTACAGAAAATGAAAAATAAGAAGTTGTTCTTCTCAAATTCTTAACAGTGTGAGTCATCGCTCACACTGTTCAACGGACGTACACGTTCCAGCTAGTCGGTCCTTCCACTCTCAAATGAATAGAGAGAAAAACCATTAGAAAGTGAAAGAAAAAGTTCAAGGCTATTTTTAGCCTTAAAACACCGGAAAACTGATCATATTCGGTCAGATCGAGCGAAATCCGATGTCTCAAACTCGAAGGATAAGGTCAGATCTTTTCTGAAGTATTTCTTAAGTATTTGATAATACTTAGCTACTTTTCTTCTTTAGTATGTGAGCAATTTTTAATCGGATCCGATCATGATATGGCCTATCGTTTACAACAAGATGAATGTATGTTTATGAGCCACTTAACAGATGAATGATAATGTATCATATTTTTTTCCTTATTTCTAGTCTCTGTCCACTTTGATCGTAATCGTAATCAACGGCGTGATTGTCGACTTGGTGTCTCTGCTGCCAAAGAAGTACAACAAGAGGAGGAAAAAGCACATGTGGCAAAACAATTTGATTTCTATAAAGAAAAGCAGATAATGTAAAGGTTTGATAACTACAGACATGCATAGTTAAACTTATTTCAATTTTAGAGAAGAGAATGATGCTGAATATGCAAAATGTTTACAAAATGAACTGATGAAAGGACCTGTTATGAACACTTTATTAGAGAATGATGTTCATCCCAATTTAATACGACAGGTACGTGTATTATCAAAAACTTGTCTGTAAAACTCATTAAATAGTAATTGTTATATTGTAGAATTCTAACGAAAAATTATATGAAAGTATAAACGAAGATCATAGTATAATCACTGATGAACAATTAGCTCGACTATTGCAAGAAGAAGAGTTCGCTTTAAGTAAAACTAATTATAAATATACATCGGTATAGAATTCATTTAACATTTTATCAATTTATCTATAATATTTGTAATTAAAGAAATTTCTGAATTAAGTAATATATATGTATTAATAATGTATTAGTAATATATGTGTAAGCGTTTTGCATGAATAAATGTCTTCATCCTACACGATTCTTATTCAAGAAAGTCAGGCATAGCACATGAGAAACAAGCTTCACTAAAATTGTAACTACCATATTAATAAAATCAACTACAATCACTATACATTGAGTTAAATACGATGTGATAGAATAATTCCATTTCAAGTGTTAAAACTGGACCGAAATTTTCATGAAAAAACTAAGAGTCTCATTATTTTCTCAATAATTTTTTCAATTTTTATCACTTAAACTTAATTTTCTTTTAAAATTTTCCTCGTTCAACTCTACAGAAAAATCCATTAATACGATTCTTATAAATAGCCAAAGTGAAAATTATACCCAATGATACTACGAAGCTCCGACATAGCCAACCTTTTACAGTGTTAGTTAGTAGTTAGTTAACTTTTAACAGTGTTTCTTTTTTAAAAATTTTGACCTTTTTTTCCATTTATTTAAAATACATAAAACTAAGTTTTGCATTTCACCGAATAACGCTTGAGATTGGGCATCATGTCTAATCTGTTTAAGGCGAATACGCTATGGCTGAGCGTCGTATGCGAAACAATCATCATCGAGGTGAACGACAAGAGACCGAAGACGTTCGTGTCGAAAGTCGGTGCTCATGCGCCAACGATTTCTGTTGGTGATGTGAACACTGAGATACGTGAGACGAGGAAAACATTCTATAAGAAATATAGGTCGATTTCCAGTGGAGTGAATCCGGGTGAGATCGAAGCGTAAGACAGCAAAGTGCGGGCATATCAGCGGGATTGAGATGAAATCCTTCAAGCGAACGTTATCCGAGTGTCTCGTTTCGATGGTGACACTTTCCAATTGTTCCATGGATAAGTAGCTCCATAGTAGAGCGATCTTTTGTGGGTTCACCGACATGATTGTCACCGCGCGTAGGAGCGACCATGTTGGCTGTCCAAGGAATGCGATACTGGCGGCCGACTCGACGAGCACCAACGCGCGAATGCGATCCGAACCGGCGACGCTAGATTGTCTGAGAAGAATTGGGAAGTAGACGAGAGCACGCAAGCCACATTTGTTCGGACAACAAGGTTAACCAGAAGTTTCAATCGTTTTTCGTTCTTGAGTTATTCAAAAACCACCGACTGGGGCCGGCATATGAAAATCGATCAGAAGGGAACCTATTCGAAGTACTCTCGGTGGAACTCGCACATAGAACCGCGTTAATACTGGAAATTAACTTGTTGTTGTATTATCATTGAATTTCGTGTGAAAAATTGCATATCAAACTGGTTTTTATTGAAATTTGAATATACTATAGCAGAAATATACTGATTGAAGTAAGCCTCTAGAGCTCGGTGCCCCCGATCGAGTCCCCGAAGCCATTTTAACGAAACCCACAAATCGCAGGATGGACTATGATAGTACAGGGAGCTTCAGAATTGTCTCGTTTCCATAGATAAAATCATTTCTAAAAATCGCCTAAAATGGTTATTTTTGGGCAAAATTGCAACTTTCAAGGCGTCTGTATTGAAAACGAAAGCACTGGAGACCGTCAAACTTTTACCAAGTATACTTTGGCATATAATCTATTTGAAAATATGGTTGAAAGTCTTATGGTCGACTTTGTTTCAAATGGGCGCTACAGCAAAATTCAGGATTTTCCGGATTTGCGCTCTTATTACACCATCTATTACAAAATAACGAAAGCATGTTTTGAGCTCGCAGTTGCGTGATTTTGTAGCTCACACTGTCTACTACTTATGGGGAAATCTCCAAGGTTAAGTAATCTTTTGTTACTGAATTACAAGAGCTTAAAGTTGACAAATTTTCTACTACTACTTCGCCATTTTGAACAAATGATAATTTACATTTAGAGACTTTTTGACGTCTCTGATAAGGCCCTTCTGCCAATGTGCCCAATTTTTATCCAAGTGACAGAGTGATAAATTCAAAATTGTACATCAAAACGGAGTAAGGTTCAGTCTAACACAGCCAAATCCAGGTAAAACTTAAGCCTTATCCAGCCTACTGCTTCCGCCGCCTCCGCAGTAATTCCAGTACCAGTGAGGATTCTCATTGTCATTTATTCCTTACAATATATTCCGGCGTCTTGACGGGCATTTTAGATCAAGCATTCGCAGATAGATAAAAATTTCTTTGTTAGCTACGTGAGAATACGGGACCTTCAGATATTGCTTAGTGGTGATAACAAAGATCAATCTGTTCTTCTGTTCAAGGCCTGATTCAAATTATCGACTAGTTCGCGAAACGAATGAAGACTCTATTCATCTTCTTATTAATATTACCAATCTTAGTGTCTTCTGGTCCGTTGACTTATGGTGGCTGCCAAACGGCTTGTAATTATGATGCTGTAACGTGTTACAGTTTAGCCGGTCTTACGTTTGGGGTAAAAACCGCAGCTGCTACGGCTACGAGCCCTGTTGGATGGTAGGCATGATTGATGTCGAGTTCCATGTCAACTATTGTACCTGCCGTGGCTTGTAGTGCTGCACAGGGAACATGTATGGCCGCTTGTACTCCGTTTTTAGTAGCCCCAACACCGAATTTACAAGAAAAGCCTTAAATTAATTTCTTATTTCTGTAGTTGTTAGCTGACAATGAGTATTTAAGGCTTTTCTTGTAAATTCTCTAATTTAGTAAAGAAAGGTCGTGTAGAGGTGGGAGATGTCTCGTTTTAATCAGCAATTTGCGGGCTACAATCGTACCTTATTAAAAAGAGGTTTTGATTAGTTTTTAGAGTTCGTGAAAAACTGTTTTTCCAGAAAACCGGGTCTTCAAGAGTCCGCAACTTTTTTTAATTTTTTGAGGCCAAATTTGAAATCAGCGTGAAAAATTGAATCAATCTATGTGTCTCTCTCAATTGATGGAGACTTGGCTATGACTTAAAAATAGTGATAAAATGGTGGATTAGTCTAATTTTGGTCGCTTTTTCAATTTTAGTCAAAAACTGATGGAAAAGTAATTATTTTAAAACTCATTTGACATGTTTTGGATAGAGTGAATAATTCTACACACTCATGAGTATTTTTCAAGGTTTCAGGTCTCACTTCAAAGCCAGCTGATGGTTCAAAAGTGAAAGAGATTAAAAATACCTCTTTTCAAAAATCATTGAGTGTTCATTTTCCTTGATGCTTTTAAGTAAAGTCAAGGACATATTTGGAATCAGCGTTGAATTCTGATTCTAGTGATGTGTTTTTCATCCATTTCTGAGGAAATGTTTTTTTCGATGTTCCTGAGGTCCACCTCAGCACTCAAATTTTTCGAAAAAATTGAAAGTAGTTTTTTGGAAAAACTGAACCGGCCATTTTGTTCAGTTTTCGACGCTGATTACAGCCATGTAGTGTTTTCCCGAAAATTCTTTGGGATGAAATCCACTTATCCAGACTTGTCCTTTGTAAAATTTTGAACTATCATTATTCATGAGTCAAATAAAACCGTGCGAAAAGCATATAGATGACCTTCTGTTGAGTTTCACAATATTAATTGCTGAAGTTTTAAGATTTCGTATTTTATCAAAACGCGTTTCATATCAAGAGAATATTAGAATTTTTTATTTTTTCCATTACACACTTTTAAACGATAGCGCCGTACTCGGATAACACAGAACACTCATAAACGCAGAAAAACGTGTGTAAGCATGTTTTGTTGGATAATTACTGGTTACAAATGCGTTTGAATGCGTTCTTTCAACCTCTTCTATAATAAACACGTTTGAGTGTGTGTTGTTGTACATAGTCTTTATTCATCTAAAATGTGTCGAATGTACTCAGTTTTTCATGCTGTACTGTCGACCAAAGCGATTTGCAGTCTCATTGTACCATTTGTAAAAAAAATAAGAAAAAAACGTTACGTCTAATGGAGTCTAACTCTTAAAAAGTTTCTCTATTATCTGAGAGGACTACAAGAAAAAAATTCCCGACTTCCACTACTAAGATGGCTGAGATATTCGAGCTTTTCATAAATCAGCACAATCCCTGACATTACTGTGCTAGAAAACGTTTGTTACTGGCAAAAACGTATGAATGTGACACACCGTTTGATAAATCCCACTGAGGAAAATCTGATAGTGCATGCGCCAACTCTAATGCACACATGGGCCAGCATATACGGATGAAAAGCTTGCTTTTTCAGCACTAGAAGCCCTTTGTCACGTATAAACAGCATTTTTTTTGTAATTATCATAAAGATGAGATTCCTGACACATTTGTTTTCGTTCTAAGCCTGGTTTCGATCGGTACACGCACAATGTAGCGGTGGCACATATTCATATCAGTAGCCACTTGATGACGAATCAGAGCTGGACAAGTCAGAGATTTTGCAGGTCACAAGTCAAGTCAAATCACTAAAAAAATTGTCAAGTCAAGTCGAGATGAGAAAATTTTTTTTTCCAAGTCAAGTCTAGTCTGGTTAAAAATTAGGCAGAAAATAAACTTTGCTAGCGCCTTTTGGGTAAGAGACAGTTTTTATAGTTTCAGAAACTCTGTTTCATGTTAAGAAATACCTAATTTAAACGAAAATCTCTTACTGGAAATGATTTGACAAAACTTTCAAGTCTAGTCACGGTCATGAAAAAGAGTCGCTCGATCCAAGTCAAGTCTACGCCTCAAAAATTTTTCGACCAAGTCAAGTCAAATCAGACTTGAGGCATTTTTGTCTTGATTTTCCTAGCTCTGTGACGAACTGATTGACAAATAATAAGTATGACTTTCCTTTCGATCTGACGTTGATATTCCCAGAAACAACTCGCAGGACATTCCGATGGTAATTAGTATTTTTCTTCCAAACCATATGTCCCATAAACTGATTCTTATGCTTGGACATGATCTCAACAATGGAGTATACAAGAGTCAATATTTTATATGGTTAATATGTATTGACACATAGCCACTCTATTTGCTATGACATCTACAGCTAGTCAATATTATCGATATATAAAATATGAAATTTCAATTATTTACTATAAGTTAGAGAATTGAATAATAAAAAACCAAAAATTCTACCGTACAATAATTATTATTTGTTAAGTAACATCTCATTTTATCTACTATTGACTCAAAATAGGTAGAAATTATTTTAAACATGAAACCTAATATACGGAGTCATACAGCTGATGAGAAATATTACATTTTAAGCTCGTTTTCTTTTTGTATAAAAATGTATCACATAAGAAACACGCTGTATAAAAAATAAAGTGGAAGCATAAAATAATCTTTTAAAAATATCAAAAGAAAATTACGTTATGTATTATTCAATCTCCTCTGAACACGTTGACGCACTTTACATGAATGTGTTCGATTAAATATTCGACGTTGTGGTGGTGGAGCTCTTGGTGGAAGATTGAATTCAATATTGATTGTATTTGTATGTTGTGCCGAATGACTATCTCGTTTAGCGAGTGAGAATAGTAAGTTTTTTGATTGTTGATTATTGTCATTATCGTTAGTTAAACTGTTTCGTCTTGATCTCGGTGGTGTACACACTGGTGAGACAAATGAAGATCTTCTTGGAGCAAAACGATTTTCACTAATACTAAGAAAATAGTCTAAATTATTTTCACGTTTGAATAGAGTGGTGGTGTTCTTCGATAATAAATTTTGAACGTTAATTTGAAGCGATGGCTGTGAATCACTAGTGGTGGTTTGAATTAATGAACGAAGTGGTGTACGCAAATGAAGAGGATGTACTCGTCGATCAGGTGATGGAAATAGCAATAAAGGATCAGTATCCGTAATGTTATTATGTGGCATAGAACGCGTTTGATAAGGAGTGACGGATAGACCAAGATCAGCAGATAATAATTGAGTACTATTATAATTCGCTTTTGTTTGATCACTGTTAACAAACGATGTTGACATTTGTTTTTGGATATTACCATCTGTCGCTGATCTGGAGAAAATAATTAATGTGACTAGTCTAATTATAGGCAATTAATAATATTACCTACCTTTTTCCTCCTCTTCTCTCCATTTCCATTTCCACACTCCATACAAGTTGTCCATCAATTGGACACGTTGGATGACTATGTAATAACCATCCATCGATACATTCGATATGAAATTTGTGTCTACATGATGGTAATCTTCGTACACGTTCACCCACTCGATATGATCTCAAACATAATCGACATTGTTCACCACGTTGTAGCAGTCGACTCGTATCATGTACACGTTCATATGGAAAAGATTTAACAACTCTTTCTGGTATACCTATCGCAGTTTCATTGTGTGCACTTCAAAGAAACACAAATACAGTTTCATAATAAGGATATTTAAGAGTATTTAGAACACTCTATACTTTTCCAACTGCCGTAATAAATCATAATCATTATCGGTGATGTTACGATTAACTAACAATTGACGAACAGCATTTGGTACCGCTGTCAAATGATCTCGAGAAGCATTTTTCCATCGTTGAAATGATTTCTAATTCAAATGAATCATAATCGCTAATTAAATTCTAAAAGAAATATTTCATCACTTACTTCTCGATAATCAAAACTATGTTCATTATGAATATTTAAATTAAAACATGTTTGACAAAGAAAATAGTCTTGACATATATTACCTAAATAACAAATCTACATCATATAGAGACAGTAAGAAGAAAAAACTAATTTGAACTCTTACATTTATAACATTTTCCCGCAATTGGACAAGCTCGACAACGATGACACGAATAACCCAAATGTATTGAGCTTTTCTCGGCTTGTTCAGCACCACTTGTACGAAATTCTTGTTTTAATAATTCAGTATCTCCAAACATTTTACGGCACAGAGGACATTTTATAACGTTTTCACCAGTTGTCAATTGATGATCAAGCCACACTTTCATACACTTAATATGAACATTATTTCCGCAACCACGCCTATATTAAAAGAGCCATATTTTTTCCTTATGTTAAAAATATTAAGTCCAAAAGAATACCTGCAGTAGGTAAGTGGTAGCTTTTTTATGAGAAATTCTTCTTGACATATTGGACATACATCATCTTTATTGATTGATCGTTGTTCAACTTCACTGTCTTTCAATTGATCTTCCTAAAACATAGTATAATTTGAGAATACTTCTATATACCTCTTTTGAACAATCCACCGATGAGACAGTTCGTGAGCATAAAGAATGCTCAGTTCTCAAAAATTCATCATACAATTCAAGTTCCTTAATCTTCCATCTTAAAAAAGATTTTTCGAGAACTTATTCGAGATATTTTGAAATTAAATTAAAATTTTAGTTAAAAATGCTTCCATGAATACACATGGTGGAAAAAACTACCGTGTTTTTCTAACAATATGTTGAGTCTAAATAAATAAATAAGTGTAACAAGTACTTTAAGTTCAATATCTGTGACGAATTTTCTTCTTTGTTGTTGTTCATCTGCTAGTCCACGTAGAATTTCATTAATTTCACGTTCAACTAAAGATTTTTGCCATAACACTAAAATCGAGACAACAATTATTTATTAAAGAGAAGATACAAATTGATTCTAATTTTGTACTTGAATTTGTTCGTGGTATTCGAAAACGTTTGAGCAATATCCAACACAAATGTTTACATAATTCACGTTCCTTCTGAAATAATGGACATGAGCATTGATGTGGATCACCGAGAAATACCTAAATGATCAATGTAGAATCATAGATAGAGGCAAAATAGACACTCAATCATCGTTATGTTACTTTGTACGTTCGTTGAGAATCCGCTTCATCTTTGATAACAAATGCAGTTGGTCCGGTTTGTCGAAGTATGTAGATTGTACTGTTTAAGGCATCCTCTTGGGATTGCAAACATTTTTCAGAACATTCTAAACGATAGGGAATTGAACGTGACATCTAAATATTAAAGCAACAGTTTAACATTACCATTCTAGTATTTAACGTGTATTCTTCTGTAGAGATGCGAAAATTTCATTTTAAGTTTAAAGAACAAGATCTGATAAAGCGATGCCAATAGTTTCACAACTTTCCACAAGAACGAATAAAAAAGAAATTTTAGAGTGCTTATTCTTCTAAATGCTAGTTGTAGTTATTATCTTATAATCATTAAAAGAACGAAATGACTTTATATATTTATGAATCTTTGTGCACTTCACTTTTCTGAAAAATCCTATAATACGTTCTACTAACGCCATTTACTGCTATTCACCATATCTGTTGTTAAGCAACAAATTCTATGTATAGCGATATTAGTATAGGCATGTGCGTACAGAGACAGTCATGCCATTCTATATACTGGTTATTAAACAGGCCAATCATTCGTCAACTTTCCATTAGCCTTCGATTTAGAATTTTTTTTTTTAAATTGAAAAACAAAACTACCATTTAGTTACGAATTTTGTGCCAATATTCATCAATCTTTCTGTAAGAGTGTTGAATGCTTTTTTAAGTTCAGCTCTAGTTTTCTTCTTTGCTCACTTCTATGATGGTGAGAACTTAATGAGCAGCGAAAGTAAAATTTTCTGTCTTTCTTTTACGATGACATCGAGTCTCACTAGTTATTAATTAGTTTTTTTAGATAATGTCATCAGGCTAACTGAAAAACTGCGAATTGTTGATTGGAGTACGAGTATTTTTCTTCAATATGAAATAATCTCGTGACAGAAAAGAGTAAAACAAAATCGATTCCGTGAAGCATGTAATCTTCTATGCTATTTCTATTGCTACGTTTTATGTTTCTATTTATAGTTTATGTTTGTTGTTGTTTGGCTCGAGTCATTGTTATTATAGGTCGGGGACTTTTGATGACTCACTTTCCGTGGATAAATCATTCATTCATTCACGTTCCTCATTACGATTCTTGCTGTTTCTTTTAAATTTTTGCGTATGTATTAAACTTTATGATTTTATCTTACAGGTGATAGAAAATCGAAGATAAGTTTACTGATATTTAGCCAAAATTAATAACGATCAGTGTACATAAAAGAAATTCTTGCAATTCAAACCTTTTCTTCTACTCATTTTTTTGTTGATTAATTGGTAAAAACTGATTCAAAACGTTATTTTTCTAGTGTTCATTGTCTAAATATTTGAGGTCGTGATTTTTCTATATCACGAAGAACTGCAGTTTTTCTATAGAGAGGGTAACAATTATAGAAAGAAATATTTAAGAAGCGCTAAACTTTTACGTTTTAAGGGCTCCTCTCAGAAATTATCTCTGACACCGTATATCCGATCTTGACGAAACTTTCCGTAAATGTTAGGTTTAGTGAGTCACGTGAATGAAAAGTTTCTTTTGTCTCCAAGTCTTACGGTTCAGGAGTTTCCAGAGATCAAGGTCCAAAAAGGACCCCGAACTTTTTCCCAAGATGTTTTAATATACTTCAAGCTGGAGAGTCCAGGTTTGTTTTATTTTAAATTAGACATCTAACTAATTTTGATCAGAAAAGTTTGCTCTACAAATATGTGTGTTCAGAAAAATTTTAATTGCATAAGTAGCCAGGAAAAAAACTATTATTTGAAGACCCGGTTTTTGAAGGCTCCTAGAAAACTTGCTCAAAATCCGCGAAAAACTATTTTTGTAACCAAAAACGATACAGATTTTGAAAGTAGACACTTCATACTATCTTTCCATGTGCGTATCTCAAAACCGATGTTTTTCATCGAAAATCACCATTTCTGAGGAAGGGACTCCTTAAAGACACTGCTCTCCAATGTGTTCATAACAACAGAAAAAAGGATAAAGATCGGTGTTTTCTTAATTTGAGTTTTAAAAATAACTTTTCGACGATGATGTATTTGTACGATAAAAGAGTATTTTCTTCAAGTTAACTCTCAATCTGCATTCCTTTACTATCAGCTACTTTAATAAATGCAGAGTAATTTATATTATGAAGAAAGATTATGAATTTATTTTCTAGATGTAATTATAGATCAAGTAAGTATCGGTATGATTCAGTCATTATCTATTTTTTGGTATAGTAAACATATATCTGCGTTATTGATGAAAGGTAAAAAGATAACGGCTAAACAGCAATATAGTAGCAATGAAAACTGATCTGATATTTCATCAAAGACAAAAAAAAATAACAATTTTTTTTTTGCAAATGTTTTTTTAATATATTTTATTACGTTTTTTGTCATAATCTGTGACACATGAGTAAAATCAAACATATCAGAGCCGTATCAAGTAAGAAATATTTCTATCTTTTCACTTCTTGGCAAATGTTACCGAAATGTCTATATAGACATTGGGTAACATTTGCCAAGAAGTGAAAAGATAGAAATATTCCTTACTTGATACGACTGTAATTCCTTTTTTAACAAAAATCTTGTAGTGCTTTCTAAGTAAAATAATCATTCATTTCATCGATAGCTATAGTACATTATTTCGTTCTGAAAGCTAAAAACTACTTGAAAGTAGTTTTTCCTCGAAAAAAAAATGGAATTAATTATATAAGAAAGTATTTTTATATAGAAAAGAAATGAGCATTTGAGAAATTTTTTTAAAAAAACATGTTAAAACTATTATATGATATATTCGTTATAATTTTTTTCTGTCATAATGTTCATTTCAGACGAATAAAAATATATTGTTTGCAGGATAAAATAAAAAATGAGGATATTAATATTCTGTAATACATAGTTGGAAAATTAATGATATGTTCACGTAAGGCATATTGACATTCTCGATTATGATTATATGTAATTTCCTATTAGACATGAGTGTTTGTTTTTTCTCATTGTCTGTTTCGATGAATTTTTGCGTAGTTTTGTTGTAAATGTAAAAAAAACAGAAAATTACTTATTGTTTCGAGAACAATTAATACTATTCTAATCATAGAATGAATAGGTATAGAGATTAATTTCGTGTGCTTCCCATTTTTATTTTTCTCTATTTTTCTAGTTAATGTTAATTAGATAATAAATCGCGATCTTATCATATAACTAATTACTCAGGGTGTTAAATATTCATCGGCTGTTAGCAAAAAAAAAAGAAAAAACGAATGAACACGCAAGAAGCAAAAATTTAAACATAAAGAAGAAAAACACTTATGTGAAAGGCACATAATTATCGTCAAAAAAGAAATTAGTTGGATATTTATGAAACAAGTAAATAGTATCATAATATGGATGGTTAATCAAATTAAAAAGTAGAAAAAGTAATTTTATGAAAAATATTCGTTTTTTTAATATTGACCGTGAGAAGTTTAGAAAGGATAATAATTATTGCTTTTTATTATTAACAAATAAAAAAGATGAGTAAATATTAATCATTTGATGAATAAAAAAATGTACAGTATCTACACAATAATTATATGACCATTCAGTCTCTACTATTTTTTTGTTTTCTTTCATAGTTGCTACTATTTTCATTATTGCGTTTTGCATCAATCCACTAGAGTGGTGAATATAGAAGATAGGAAAATACGAAGGAAATGCAAAGAGAAGAAAAGAATTTCATCGTATTGCGGTCGGAAGTTCATTATAGATATATGTTGTTTTTTTCTCCTTTATTTTCTTCCTAACATATTATGAGAAAATGAATATTGCTTTCTATTTTTAACAAGACCTCTTTTTCTCTTCGTTGTTTTGCAGTGTGATCGGATCAGTTATTTTGCTATATGTATGTATGCTAGTATAGGACATGAAAAATAGGGTTTTTTTCTTTTATTTTTTTCATTATTTTTTTATTGAGAGTAGGGAGAGACAGATATAGGAGAATACATTGGATACTGATTGTTGGTGTACACAGGTGACATATAAATAACTATTGTTTTAGGGGTTCTTATCTGACAGATGCATGAAGCGTGCTATTCTCTCGATGTTAAAATGATGACTTAAAAACTAGTTCTTGATCGGATAGGTGCAAAACAAATAACATTAACTTTTATTAATCTTCAGAGTAAGTCTAGTAGAGAAAAAGATGTATAATTCTAGACTCAATGTTTTATTTTTAATTAGAATAACAGAGTTTGAACTAGAGCTGTTTGGGACTGTCCTTTTTCGTCCTTGGTCTTCCAGACATTCGACCAAGTGAGAGAATGCTCGGAATCGGGTCTACATAGCATAAAATTGTTTTTCCGGATGTTCGTTAAAAAAAAGTGAGGGATTGTTACGAACATCCAGACATTTTTGTATACAAAAACACTAAATACCTTGGCTCATGCCGTTCCGTACACCCAGACGACTTTCATTCCCAACATCCGGATTTTTTTTGATTATCGTTCCGAACATCCGGACTTTTTCAAACGAAAGTTCGGAACGGACTACTCTTGTCGGATGTCCATAAGACAAAGCAAGGACGAAAAGGGACGGGGTCAGCTGTTTCTTTTAAGAGAAAATCATTGTATATCTTTTGAATATTTGAAAAAGACAAAAAGCTTATAACAATCTTATACGTCAACAAAAATAGAGAAAAATATAGAGTAAGTGAACAAACAGAAAAAAGAAAAATTTACATAAACAGATGTTTTTGCACCTCTAAATACACAAACTATGAAAAAATTGTTACCGTAGCTCTCGGCAACACGTTTTACTCTTTTTTTTTTGTTTAGTTTTCGAGAAAGAAGTGATGAACTCGTAGTTTTTAATTTAAAATTATAAATTTTCTATAGAAAAGGTTGAGCATTCTACTCGACATTCTCATAGTCTAATTAGCTCAGTTGGTAAATCATGGAATCCATAAATGTAGAGGCGTGACTGGCATTATACTTTGATGCTTATGTCATTCGACTCGTACTTCAAAGACACTACCAAGTCATGTAGTATCATTGAGTCAGTTATTCATGTACCTCGAATCACTCGTTCGACAGTATATTTTCTCGAGCTTATCATAAAGCTGGTATACGGTTGGTAAGTACGAATGGAAAGGTGAAACAATTGGATAGAAGAACTGCGAGTTAGATCATCCTTCTGAGCAGAGCTACAGTTGAGTGACTATTGAATGAAGGATGAACGCTTTTGAAGATAGAAGATTATCAGCTACAGTGAATGTGTCCAACTACTCCAAACTGCACCGACAAACATATACCCCTCTGGTCAAAAATAACTAGACTCGGTATTTTCCATTTATATTATCGCTATAAATTGTTCGTTTTGACAAAGTAAATAGAGATTCGGATAACCCATCAAATTCTCTACAACCCTCTATAAGTACATCTTCAATTGTATTCGTCTGTTGAAAAAAAATTCAAGAACAACAAAGACACCTTCATCATCCCATTCTCGGTGATGTGTGTGTTGCGACATTTTCATCGATTTTTTTCAAAACTAAATTGGCCATCTGAAAAGCCGTGAGAAACTCTATCATCCTCTACTGTCTCAGCCACGATTAGCTATTATTTGATCACAAACAGTTGGCAGATGATTTATCCCTCTGGCAAAAAATCGTTAGACTCAGTATTTTCACTATATCGTTACTATAAATTCACATTTTGAGAAAAATAAGTATATATTCGGATAGCCCGTTGAATTCTCTACAACTCCGTTGTTCGCTAGAAATAAATATAAGCACAAGAAAGGCACCCTCATCCTCAGATTCCCTAGAAATTCATTTTTTCCCGTCATTCTTTCAAATTGTTTTTTTTTTCGTTTTCAGAAATTTTTCATTTCTTTTTAATACAGAAACGAGTCATTAAAAAACTAAGTACATAGTCTGAAAGCGCATGAAAATCTCTATCTCCCTGTATCGTAAAAATTTCTGAAAACGAGAAAAAAACAATTTGAAAGAATGACGGGAAAAAATGAATTTCCGGGGAATCTGCGAATGAGGGTGCCTTTCTTGTGCTTATATTTATTTTTAGCGAACAACTGCGATTCAGAACATACTTATACAGGGTTGTAGAGAATTCCACGCACTATCCGAATATATACTTATTTTTCTCAAAATGTGAATTTATAGTAACGATATAGTGAAAATACTGAGTCTAACTATTTTTGGCCAGGGGGATAATTACAAGGCGGTATATTTCATCTTCCTTCTTCGTGATAATTTCTATGAACATACATCAGGCAAACAAATTTACGCTGTCTAGCTGAGGTTTTTAACTGATTATTGATAATGAGGAGATATATGACTTAATGACATTGTAGATTGAATAGTATAATAATTATTCATTCGTACATGATGTACTTGTATGAATACTACTGATATATAGATAAGACAGAAGAAAGTCTAATTATCATGAACAAATTATTTTGTATATTTTTAAAATTTGACATATCATAATTATTTGTTTCATGAAGATGATGTTCATAGGACGGTTAGTAATATTAGATTATCAAATACTGTCTTTCGAGGAAAGAACTGACTTTTATTCTATATACTTTCTCTTCATTGTATACAAAGTTACTCATTTCTTGACGTTTTTTTTTTAAATATAAATTATGAAAATTCTTAATAAGTTCCTAAAAGTGATTTTGTTTGTGTGTAAATTTACAAACCGTTTAATTTGAATGTGAATAATTTTTGTTCTCTCTACACTTTAAGATACGTAGAGGAATGACGTAGATGAACTTTGAGTTATTATCAGCTGTTCGTATCAATTTACAGTTATATAATATGAAAAAGAAATTGATATTTTTTTTCAAATCTGAAAGAGATGAAATTTAGTGTATCAAAATCTATAGTTCTCGTTTTTTTAATCTCAAAAAAGTTCATGATAAAAAGGTTATTTTTCTATTTTTTTTTTTTTTTTGACAGAGGTGTAATTTACCACCATTGAGTTGTTTTTTCATTTTATTTGTAGACGTATACAGAGACAGAGCGTTTGTTTTATTATTTTGAAAGATTATACAACAGATGTGCATGTTCAAAAAGACGTTCGTTTTCTCGAAAATAAAAGTGCTCATTTAGTAATTAATAATCAGGTAATAAAAAGAATATTATTTATAATTAGTAACTTTTTCTCATTTTTCTCAAATACTATGCGTATCATAAATCTGTACAAATCTAATTTTGATGATTCTATAGTATTTTATTCGAGTGATATTAATATTATAATTTTTTATGAATGTTATAGATAAAAATAGAATTAAATTATTTGCATAGGAAACTTTTTCTCTTCTTTTGTACAATTTCTCATAAGTTACACGATGAAGATAAATTAAAAGAAATAATAGACAATATATTATTACGTCAACTAAATTGTTGTGAAACAAGATTAGACATGCGATTATACAACAAATTTGCTATTTTTAGTTGATTAGAATCATCATGTCTAATAAACTTGTATAGCCGAGAAACAAATCAATTGATGTTAAGTTAGTTTATCTCTCGTCTAGTTGACGTTTACTATTTTGCTTTTTCATCAGAAGGCTATCATTGAAACAAATAACAGTAAATCGGGCATATTAACATCGTTTTTTTTTCTTCATCTAACAGAAACACAGAAATATGTCATTTCTAAATAATAAATAAAGCTAGTCAAAGGAACCATCGATATTTCCTTGTATATCGTTAGAAAAACAACAACAGATTATTGATTCATATTTTTATCAAATAGTATTTTTAGTACATTCGATTATATAGGATAGGGTTAGTTTTAAGTTAGAAAAGGACAGTCATTTATTACGCATAGATGAAAGTCAAATAAGTATAAGAATTTACAAGTAAACATCATCTTTTTGACAAACTATGGTACACTTATAAGATTAATTTTGTTACACAAGAAAAAAGAAAACAAATTTTTCATTAAAATTATCTATCTAAAAATTAATATTTTTCTATATTGAAGTGTCAATTTTGCCAAGACAAAAAAATTAAAAGAAAACTAAAATGACACATAATTTTGTAGAAAAGCATCATTTAATCCGATCTATCACTCTCTTTTTCATTAACAGTAAGAGGAGTTCGTGAAAGATTTTTCTTTTGATAAATACAATCAAATTTTTGTACTTTCTGTTCTTTCTTTCCCCTCTTCCTCTCTCTATCAATCTCTATAACTTAAAGCAATTCCATATATTCTTATATGAAAATGTGATGTAAAATGTCGTTCTTGCTTGTATTCTTACTGTTTTTCTTTTCAAAATTTTTTATCATGCACACGGTGTGTATAAATGTTGTGCTGTGACAAAAAATTTTCAATAAAAGAATAAAAAAGATGCATCCTGCCAGTCTCTCGAATCAGAAAAAAAAATCGTGTTGTTGTTTTTCTTCTTTTATTTTTTTTTTACTCTCTTATTTATTTATAAAGATGACAAAAAAAAAAAAAAAAAAAAAAAAAAAAAAAAGCGAGAGACCATATAAAAATATTTTCGTTTTTTTTTAGAGACTATAATAATGACGTCTAAGATCCTTCGCGTTATTCGAGAGAGAGAGAAAAAATAAACCACGAAAGAATAGGGTTTCAATTGACCTGTTTATATTTTCGCCGGATATTGATAGAAACAATAGTGCTATTTTTGTCACAGTGCCGTTTTATTTGTTTCTCTTTTTATACATGTATATGTGTGTGTGTGTATATTCGTGTCTCTATGATGTTAATATTCTTGCTTCGTTTTTCTCTCTTTTTTAGTATATATACTTAAAAATATTATATCCACTTTTCATCTTTATTAGTGATCTATTAAAATCATGGCAGGTTTATCTACTGCCACACCAAAATTAGTTGTTTCCGAAGAATCTATTCAAAAACCATTAGTTCCACCATCATCATCATCACCAGAAGAAAATTCTGTATCAGCGGCCGTTGCTTCTGGCAATAAAAAAAAATTAACAAAAATTTTATCAACACAAACAAGTTTTGAAAAACATCCTCAACATCCAATATCAAAACGTTTTTCAATTGATGCTGATCCATCATCTATTATTTTAAATCAACCGGCATCGTCAGATACGCCAGTCACTGCACCCACATCTGTTTCTCAAACACATAATAATTATCATTCATTTGAACAACAAACAGATGAACAACAACAAAAATCGGGTGAAAAATCACCAAGTGGTACAAGAAGTCCCATACGTTCACCATCATTTATGAAAAAATCGGATAGTTTTCTTGAAATACCATATGAAAAAGGAGAAATTGTTGATCTTATTAAATTGGCTGATGATCCGAATGCTGTTTCACATTTAACCGATGATGGTCAAGAAGTTTTAATTGAACATGGAGCGATCAATTAGCGAGAATGAAAAATATTGACCATGATCTGGATCAATTTTTATTGTTGCATTTGTAAATGGATGTTTTTCTCACTGGTATTTTATGTAATGCTGTGATGTAAATGCTTTCAACGTTTTTCTCTCGCATATTGTGTCATTGTTGCGTATTTTATGTCTCTCTCTCTCTCTCTATTTATCTTTAACTGTATTGTATTCGCTTGCATTTTTACGCTGTTGATGAGAATTTTTCTCTTTTTTTTTTTCAATGTGAAATGATCATAAAATAAAATAATCTTTAGAAAATAATAAATTTTTAATGAAATTTTTGATCATGACATATAGATAGCGAATGTGCAATGCCACATTAGACACTCTTGTCTGACATGACATGAGGATAAAATAGTGTTATATCATAGATCGGCTGATTTATATACAAATAGAGTTGAAGATGAAAAAAATTGATAGTGAAAGTATATTTCGCAGTTTAAAACGAGATCAATTCTATATTTTATATAACTACAAGTATTAGATTTCACGAAATCATGAGTATCCTCTATTACAATCAGTCTGAAGTAAAAAAACAAAAACAAAATTGATATGATCAATCATTTGGATACATCTCTTTATGACAGTAAAATCATTATACGATTGTTCAGATTAAAAATTAATTGTAAAAGTATTCTTTCTTCTTTTTTTTTCGTTGATTTAATTAATTATTGATTTTTAATATATTTGTGTTCAAAAATAAATTCAAAAATTCCAATGTATTCAATTTTGTTTCGATTAAAAAAATGATATTCAATACACTTGTCATTGAATCAATGAATATGGTCGTTTTTTTTTTTTCAATTTTTTTAGAGTAATGTAATGGTTTTAAATGAGGTCACGCTGGTCACCACCACGAAACAAACAATTAGTGAACGAGATGAAAAACGGAAAAATTTTTTATTTGAAAAATTATTTCCTGTTGTTTATTTTTCATTTATAACTACTGTTGGTGTCTTATCTGGATTTGGTTATGCATTTGTAGCAACAAAAAAACGTGAACAAGTGCCAGATAATGAAGCAGAAGCAGCAGCATTGCTAAATAATGAACGGGTATATCGAGATGGAAATCGTTTAGCATTACGTGCATTAACTCGTGCAACTATCTACAGTCTAACTGGTGTTATTGGTTTTTCATCATTTTTATGGTTTATGAGTGGTGCAAAAAATTTTCAAGAATTTCGCTATTGGATGGGTTCATGGTTACCAAAAATATCATCAAAAAATCAAAATCAAGAACGAACAGAATTTAAAAATTTAACAGAATTAATTCAATATATTATTGATGAAGATGAAAAGAAAAAACAACAGAAAAAATTATTACAAAAACAGGAGCAAAGTTAACAAACAATATGTTTTGTTTTGTTATTTTTCTAGTTTAATAATAAAAAACAAACGTAGGATCTCATATCTCTTACTTAAATTGTTTACATGGAAAAAGCGATTAGTGAAAGTACAAAAGACTGTTGTCATTTATAAACGAAGAATGTCAGAGAACAAACTGATATGATTCCCCAGAGATTTCAAGATCTCATATAGTTTTGTCTTGTTTGCTCCTAATTATGGTTGTGTTGGATGTAGATTGATGATAAAAAGTCCGACTCTAAGCGAGATCAAAAGTGGATGTAAATATTTTACCTTAAATGAAATTTATTAGCTACATATTTAAACTTCAGGAGAGATTTTAATTATAAATTTTTGTTTTCTTTTTATCTGGAAATGGTTTATTTTCAAGATCAAAATATTCTAAAGTTCATCGTAGCGTCACCATTTATGTAAAACGCATTTATCACGAAAACTAGCTATTTCCAGAAAAAAAAGGAAAAAGTTAAGATCGAACACACGATCTTGATCGTTGTAGACGAACTGCTTCGCTGTTCGTTCCTATATTCTGCACAATGATTGAAGTTGTGAAATTACTCGTTATTCTTTAATGTGTATTTTTTTGTTGTGTTATTTTTTTTGTTTTCTGTTTTTCTATATTCAGCCAATAAATTTCATTTTAGATAGAATATATACGGAAAACTATCTTATAGTGCGACACTCAATCCAACATAAAAACGATTAGTCATCGGATGGAAGTCTACATACCAATCTGCTGTGAAAGACATTTCTGTTCAGTGCATCAAGATTAAAGTCAAGAGAGATAGACCAAGGTCTGTGTTCGGTTGTTTACCTTTATTTAAATATCCCAAAAGTTTCGCTAGTTTTAGTACAGCGAAAGGAGATATTTGAGACATTTCTTAAGTATCTGGGATCAGTTCTGCCAAATTCTCCTTTGATGATTATCTATATAATCTGTACTTTCCATCTACACAAATTGTTTTCTTCACTTTTCAAAAGTAGTTGGCGTCACCGTTCACTAGCGCTATGTCTTTACATTAAGAAAAAAGGCCACTTCGCGTTTTCGTCTAAAGCGAACTCTTTCCACAGTGCTCTAAATAATTTTGATATACTTATCATTGGTTTATCAATGGAATATCTGACCGCCATTTTTCCATATTTTGGGATATGCCGATACACAACTCTTCCGCTTTATATGATATACACCTTCACTAAATACAAATGAACGAAACATCAGGATTAGAGTAATTTGTATTGCTTTTTTGATTCATTCTAACGATTTGCTCTTATTGTATCCGACTCGACTAAAGCAGCGTTTCTAATGAGAATTTTTCACAGTTTATCACCACATTTTCCCCGTTTTCCTTCTAAAACAGAGTGGAAATCGAATTTTCAAAGTGGAAAACCACTTTGCTCTTACGAGAACTACCAATCAATAGAAACACTGGACGAAAGTCAAGACAAAATTTTATTTTGTTCGATCTTTGCTTACAATGAAGCAAAGGGAATAGATGCATCGGATGTGTCAGAATATGACAAAGCCTTCTCGACATCAACACATTTCTACCCAAAATTTTTCAAGAAACGTTATGGTACTTCTGCCAAAATTCTCCGAAGGGCATGTCCTCAGAGAGTATTTTCTAGGAGTAGTACACAAAGTGTAAATTGAGATTTGATTACTTCCAGTTTTTAAGAATGTCTGCATGATCCATAGGCAGTTTTAGAGTTTGAAAATTCGTGATGTATACAAGACTATACTAGTATCACTTTGCTTGTGTGTGTTAGTTCTATAGAAAAAATCTAGAAGGCTAACAAAAAGACTTTCAGTAGAAAAGAAAGTGTAAGAAGTCTTAAATAGTTTGTTGTTGTATAGTTTGTAGTAATTTCTCTCATCATTGTGTTTTTTTTCTTGAAAAATTAACACAAGTTTTAACTACATTATTTTATTTTAGTTGTATTTCAATCAACTATGTCGGTGTTAGTCGCCCAGAGGAACCGAACATCAATGATCCATATATGGTTTACTCTCGATTTGTCCCTAATTGCTCTCACTCAATTCGTCCCATTTTTTAAATACTTATTCTGCATAAGTTCTCTTATATTTAGCTTAACTTTCAGAAATGGAAACAAAAAGATATTATTAGTACATTGTCTTTATTCCATAGGAATTTTGTGGCCCTTCCGTATTTTATGGCTAATTGTGAATTTGTTAACTTCCCTTTTTCATGAGTGTCAAGTAAACTTTTCAATTTTTCATCAATTTCATTATAAATTTGTTTACGTTTGCGAGTTTGGACTTCAGATTCTTCTGTGTGATGGTGGTGAAAGACATGTTCTTGACGTAATAGATCAATAAATTCATAAATGTGTAGATGAACAGGAAATACATTTTCTAAACGTTTATTATATCCCTCTATGTGGTTGTCAGTTCTCGGTAGATCATTTATTATCATATCATTCTACTGTCTGCTTTAGACACACGCTTCCGTACATAGTCTTATTTATTTTAAGCTGACCAACATGGACGAAACTGTTGTTATTTTGAAGAACACAAAGAGAACTTATGTAGAATAAGTATTTAAAAAATGGGACGAATTGAGACTAAAAAACGACGAAAACAACAACGAATTATTTGGGACGAACTGAGAAAGAGCAACTAGGGACGAATCGAGAGGATACGCCATATATGTAAGCAAAGCAGAAGCTTTCGTATTGTAAATATTGATATTATCAGATTTTGTTTTTCTGTAAATATTTAGCATCATAAATAAAGTTCCAAGCGAATTTTTCACTATTCCTTTGCCAACATTGAAATATAACTGAAAAAGAACTAAAAGAAAATTTTAACTGTTATAAGAAAAAAATTTATCTAATGTTCTTGTTCGGTTGGTCAGACATAACATCGAAACTACATTTTTGTACAAATTTTTTTGTTGCGTGTAAATATATTCACTTGCTTTTTACTCTTTCATTGTCTATTTTTTGGTACGCATATCTCGAACAAAATATGTGAAGATGCATAATTATAATCATTTCGTTATACTGATAAGGAGGAAAATTGTTGAAGCAGACGTATCGTATATAGTGTATGAAAAATCACGTTGTTTATATAGAAGTTGACACTGTAAAACAAAGCGATGATTGAGAAACCAGTAGTTTGACTTGAACATTCGAATGAATGTTCCATTTAACGGGTTTAAGTAAGTTAAAAACTACTCTTATCCAGTAGAATAATTTTTTCGCATTACTGTTGTAGAGGGGTCCAAATGCGTTAAGTATTCACAGTGGTTCAGACACGTTAAAAACAACGTTTTTAGATTAAACTCCTGTGGACGTGTTAAGAAGATATTAATGCGCCTAAAACTTATTAGGATTGAAATAAATTTTTTTATGAATTATTATATTTTGGTTTTTCAGAAGTTTGTTGATTCATTATAATTGAACATACGAAAAGCGTTAAATCTTTCGCAATCATATTTAACGGAATCTGATCTCCTATGTATGTTTCGAAAGAAACTTTAGCATGTGTTATATCTGAAAATTTAATCCATTCGTATGCTATCTTTCTCAAGAAAGCTTTTTGGACACATTCTAACTTGTGTTAGAGTATTAAAACTATTTCATGGGCTCTCTCATTCGTCTATGTTTGTAGTCAAAAAGTTAATAGACAAATGACGTTTAATAAATTATAGATTTTATATTGAGATTTATAGATTTATTTATAGAAAAATAAATTATTATTTATATAAAACATTGTATTTTGTTTCATTGATTTTATCTGTTCAACATTTATTAGTTTATTATTTCTTGAATTTCATTAAAATTGAGAAATAATGAGATGATATAGTCATTTGTTGTTCATAAACAAAATATGCTTCAAAACAATGTTATTCTTAATGATCAAACCAATAGATTGACGAATAGAATAAAATGGCAATTCAACTCGAGAAGAAGACTTTTATATATTTTTACGTTTAAATAACAATCTTCGTCATATATTCGTGCTCACAAATTCAAATTTATTTATAAATTTCGATTAAAAAGTAATAATTTGGTAGAGACAATCGTTCGATTACTTTATCAAATGGTTATTTTAAACATAAAAGGGTATCTTTTCACGAACACTCCATCGAACGCTTTTTTTTTTACTATAATCTATTGTTATTTTAGACTAATTGATCAATCAAAATGAAAAAGAAGCAGCCGCTAGTTCTTCTGTACACGATAATTATTACACGAGTCAAAAATTCATTCGAATAGTCACCACTTTATTTTGAATTATTTTGTTTTGTAACATTCTATTTCTATAGTGTTCACATATAAATCTTAGTGATTATTTTTATAAATTTTGAAATAAAAAATATCATCAAAACAACAAAAGTTTTCGTTTTATCATATTATGATACTCTAAATGTTCATGCATGATTCGTCTACTTCGTCGTTAAATAAAAACTTCTATGTTTAATCAATATCAGAATAATTATTAAATTTTGGATTTGAAACAATTTGTCAGATGAATCAACTCAAATGACGTTTGAATTCAGAATGACAATATCATTATATTAGTTAGACATGATTAATCAACTCATTAGGCTATGTATTGATTCAAAAAGGAAACAGATCACGTGAATAGTTTGAATAAAGAATTTGACATTAATCCTAGAACTAAAGGCTATCATCTCGATGACTTTTGTAATCGAAGACGATAAAATTTTTTTAAGTACTTTCAATAGAAGTAGAGGCAAATTTATATTAGTCAAAATAGTGAAACAAAAAGATGAATGGTTTGTTGATAAATAGTTAAAAACTGACATTTCTAATGGTTAACGATGTACTCGTTTTTTTTTCTGATATTTTAACTGTTTCAAAACGGCATGTTAACAGACAGTTCACGACGATGTGAATTTCAGTTTTAAGTGTATACAGTTAAATGCATGTTTTTAGACATAATTCATGGTAAAATAACGGACTGTTTTCTAACAGTTTTAACCGATTAAAGGTCAATTTTTTAGCAATGCAGTTAACAGTTATTAAATATCTATTTTCGTTGATCTGAGAATGACTAAGGAGATATTAACCAAATTTTAGGAGCTTTTCTTGAAAAATTCATTACTGTCAAGCTAAGGATCAACTAGGGATTGATACTTCCATTTTTAAGAGTAGTGTAAAATCTACAGTGCTGCATAATTTATTAATGAAATATCGAGTGTTTTTGAAAAGCACAGCTTTTGAAAATCTTTTCGGAAAAACGAAGAAAGCCCTATCTACTTTCTCGTGGAAAATCGTGAGGAGTTATGACCAAAATCCTTCAAGACTCTTGCTGAGATGACGTAAGACACATTTACCTTTTTATTTTGCCAAGACACGTAGTCTATGAAAAGCATTGTTTTGATGACAAATTTTCAACGTTTTTCGTCAGATACATGATTCATTACTAAAATGTCAGCTTATAATGGCTTAAAGTGAAAACATGCTGTTTCCCATTTTTGATGCGAACTGGTATGGATTCGTATATATCTTGATAAATTCTACATTGGAAACGATTGAAGTTGATCTAGCCTTTCAAAAACTTTTATTTGAACAAATAAATGAAATATTAAAATGTTAACGTAAAAATGGGAAAGAAGCAAAAACGAGCTTTTATAGTTAAAAACTCCTGCAAAATGGACTTCTGTAAATAAAATTTCAGAATTGTTGACTAGGAAGTAAATTACTTTTGTACTAAAGTTGACACTGATTCTAAAATTAAATGCTATTCGATATTCGAATACGTGTATATTTTCATATCGAAATGTTGAATAAAACCTGTCTGAGCGGTGTACAATTTGTTGAGTTAATACTATTTTTACAATTCTTTGCTGGTGAATAGAACATCAAAAATTCAAAATAGAAGATCAATAAAATAATAATTTTTATCGTTAGAGCGTTAGTTATTTCCCATTATTACTTATTTTTTTATATTCATCACCCGTAGAACTAAATCTATATATTTGAAAATCGATAGATATTCCTAGTACTTTTAAAGAACTCTACTTTTCATTTTTATTATTAGAATAATTATTTTTATATATTATTCATTTATAGATGGTTACTGTTTATTTACCATCAATTTGTGATAATAATTCTTCATCTACAGTATGGTTTAACGATGATTTTTCACCGTGTTTTTATAAATTTATATTTGAATTTTTCTTAAATGTCATCACTTTATTATTAGCTTCTTATAATATTGGTCGTCGATACAAATGTTCATATCGTCATTGGACAATTCCACTCTATTTCATACGAATATTTTCATTGATTCAATTATTATCATGTTTCACATTTCAAATTTATTCATATTTTTTTCAACAACAAAGTGTATCACAATGGCTTGATCTTATTGATATATTTTTATTACTTGTTACCTATTTATTTGTATTTTATTTTCATTTAAATTTAAATTTATATCATCCAACACGTCCATTATTCTATACACTATGGTTTTGGCTCTATTTTCTTGTACAAAATTATGATTGTTATAAAATTTATATACATCATATGACATTATTTCAAACAATTTATGTTTCTATTAGACAAGTAGCATTAGGTTTGATAACAATTAATTTAACTATTATTTGTGTACATTCTTGTGCAACAGTTCAACGACAAGGATTATCAACACGTATTTCTTCAAGTAAGTCTCTTTTTTTCTTTATTATTTTATTAATTTATTTTTTGTATCAGTTTAAATTAAATTTTATATTTTATAGTTAATTACAATGATTTATCCATGCCTAATGAACGCAATCGTCTACTAGATGTGACAATTATTCAACCATCTTGTCATTTTAGAATTCGATCCTTATCATCAACTGATTTAGTCAATGAAGATGATGCGTGTATATCTGAACTATTTACATTTTCATGGTTTAATAAATTAATGAAAAATGGTTACAAATCATTGATTATAGATTTAAATGATTTATGTTTATTACCGCATAGTTTAACTGTTGAACACATTTCGACACAATTTACTCAAAAAATGAATACCACACCAAAATTATTCCGATCATTATGGTCAATATTTGGTAGAACATTTTTTCTATTAGGAATTATCAAAATTTTAGGTAAGTAAAATAAAAATACAAAAGAATAAAGTTAATCTTATATCTTACTTTGTTGATTGTTAAATTTAATTCTAAAAATTAAAAACTTGACGTTTTCTTTTAAATTTTAAAATCCAACTTCTATTTGAATGTATAGAATAACAACTTTAAATGCATGGTTGAAATAAACGTGAAAAATCAAATCAATAAAGGCGTTTGACAAGCTCTGAAATTGTCTTTAAACGACAGAGATGCAGAAGCTACCCGTGAGACTGAGAAATTTCCTTCGAAGAAAAAAGTTTTTCAAAAAATTTCCGACATAATCTACGAACAGAATTTTTTTTGTAAAATATTTGCAAAAAGCAATTCTCATTTTTCAAAAAAAGTCCCCGAATCAATATGTTTTTCCTCGACGATCGTCGGAGCAAACAGACAGATTCTACAGCTCTCTTAAACGGTTTCGCCCAATGATTTTCAAATAAACAGGCGAAAATAATTTCAAGTTGCTCTTCGTCGGATTTTTTGACTCAGAACTGACAACTGGAATGGATTAAAAGGTCACATGACAGAAAATGTCAAATTGAAGGCTGTAAAAAGAATCTGACATGAATTTTCAATAGTTGATTGAATTAAACAGTTTTCTCTATGCTAATTGTCATTTTCGATCGAATACCTGTATTTGGCTTAGTTGATAAAACAGATATCTCAAGACATCTGGGATATATTCGTTCATAGAAATTGATAGTAAAATATAAAAAATAATGTGATAAAACCGTGAACACGACTCCTACGCTTCAGCGAACTGAAATCATACTTCAAATACTTCTGTTTAGCAGAAAATCTTTCATAACGTCTGGCGATGAAAGCGATAGAGACGAGAACAAGACGTGAAGTGAGTCGTCTGATAATATTTCTCCAGAGTGACTATATTTTGTTTATAGTGAGAAGTTAGTAGACAAAGATAGTGCATAGATAGAGGAAGACTGGAGATCCTGTTCGTGGAAGGGTCATTGAATTAAAAAGCCAATTTTTCTCTGTAAGGTGAATGAAGAATGAAACGTATATAAAAGCGCTGAAAGTCCATGTAAAATTCTTTTTACAGCCTTCAGTTTGACATTTTCTGTCATATGGTCTTTTAATCCATTCCAGCTGTCAGTTCTGAGTTAAAAAATCCGACGAAGAGCAACTTGAAATTATTTTCGCCTGTTTATTCGAAAACCATTTGACGAAACTGTTTAAAGATAATTTCAGAGCCTATCATGACGCCTTTATTCATTCAATTTTTTACGCTCATTCCAACCATGCACAGTTATTATCCTATACATTCAAATTGAACTTGAGCTTTTAAGAGACGCGGTTTCTAAGATTCGCTTCAGCACTTCAATCTTAAGCAGAAATGAACTTTCTTATGTAACAGATCTAGTTTTGACGTAATCTAGGCCGATGTGTTTTTATCGAGTTTCAATTTGTAATTTAGGTGATGGTATGGCGTTTGGTGGTCCAATATTTTTGAATAAATTAATATCGTATATGGAGAATGGACGTAAAGATTTAAGAGAAGGTTTATTATTGTGTTTAATATTGATTAGTACCGTTTCTGTAGCCTCATTTTTGAACATTCATTTTTCTTATCGAATTAGTCTGTTAACATTGAAATGTAAAGTATGTTTGTATACACAAATATATCAGAAAGCAACAAAGTTAAATTTAAGTCAAATGGGAAATTTTTCAATGGGAGAAATTGTTAATCAGTGAGTAAATGTTATTTAACACTATGATTTTAGTCACATTTGAATTTGTTTTTGTTTTTAGTATGTCAACAGATACAGATCGTATCGTTAACTTTTTTCAAAGTTTTCATGCTTTCTGGAGTTTACCAGTACAAATCGCCATTGTACTCTATTTATTATATCTTCAAATTGGTTTAACATTTTTAACCGGTTTAGCTTTTGCCATTATACTTATACCGATAAATAAAGTAATTGCATCAAAAATAGGAAAATTATCTCAATCAATGATGATGTACAAAGACGATAGAGTTAAGGTATAGATTAATAGGTAAATAAAAGTTAAACTAATCTATTTATCCTGTTCTTTATTTTTTAGTTAGTTTCTGAAGTAATATACGGAATTCGTGCTATTAAATTAAATACGTATGAAGAATATTTTACATCTGAGATGGATAAAATTCGAACAAATGAATTAAAAACATTACGTGGTCGAAAATATTTGGATGCATTTTGTGTCTATTTTTGGGCAACAACACCCGTACTCATATCAGTTTTAACATTTACAACATATACTTTATTAGGAAATCACTTAACACCATCCAAGGTATTTTTTGTTATTATAATTTTATGATATCATATATTAACATAAAATAATATTATTAATTTAAGGTATTTACAAGTTTAGCGTTGTTTGCTATGTTAATAGCCCCATTAAACGCCTTTCCCTGGGTTATAAATGGTCTAGTTGAAGCTCAAGTGTCATTGAAACGTGTACAAAAATTTATTAATATTCAACCCATAAATATGGATGAATATTATCATCAACTGCCAATCGAAGAACAATTTCAATTATCATTAGGTAAGAAAAAGAATGTGTTCAACAAGGAACCTTTATTTGAAAGAAGAGCGAGAATATGATATCAAAACTAAATTTTTCTTCGATGCTTGGATATTAAACTAAACAGGTTGTCACAATAGAAGAATCAACTCTTCTATTAAAAATCTCGGAAGATGAGATTATAAGGAGATCTTACATTTTGTTCTTCCACAGTGAGAATGTTTATCAGTACGAGTTTTTTTAACACTAAATTTTTTCCATTCAAAATATAGAGATTGATTGTATAGAAATTTTGATGAGATCAAAGATCTAAGTCAGAGTCAAATAATTTGTGAAGCACGAAAATAAATTTTACACCCGAATTTAGAAACTTAAGATTAACGAATTTAGGCTGAATATGTAAAATAACTTATTTTCAAAAGGTTTTATATTAAAAAAGTTGACAAACTGTAGCCGATGATCTCTTTATGGGGAGGGGAAGGGGGGTTGTTCCATTCAGATTTGGTTCAAACTTTGTCAGATTGTAGAGAATACTTCAAAATATACGTGAAAAATTTTTGGAGGTTTACGGACTTGTAGTTTAAAAAATGTTTTCCGGTCTTTTTTGCCCATTTTTTAAATTATAAATAAAGTTTTTACTTTTCAGTCTGAAACCTCGGTTTTGTAACCAATCGATAAAGTGCCTCGATATATATATGTGAAAAGATTGTCATCGTTCCTGGACAAGGTTTGGCGGAGAAATTTGACCTTGAGAATAGGTTTTTGAGGCCAAAAGTGTGCTTTTTCTTCCTTCGAGCGAAGTTTGGTTCGAGGTGCTTTTAAAAATACTTTTTTCTCCAGAATTCCATGAGGCAGGTCAAAGCGGAATAACTCAGTCAAAACTTGACTGAAGTGTTTTATAGAGACATCTTGATATCCTCTATTGATTGACATAAAAATTGAGATTATAAGTAGAAATTTGAAAAACAGGGCAAAAAAATGAGGATAAAACTACAAGTCGGATGACCGAAAATATTTTACCATATGTATTTCCAACTGTCTTCTACAAAACGGTTAAAAAAGTGAGTGATAGGCTCCCTCCCTTTAGGGAGAGGTTTTTTCTATAAAAAGTTTTATATTCAAAAATATCTTTTTCGGTTCTTAAAAGCACATTCTTTTTGCATCCTTTTATCACTTGTGAACTCATCTGATATCGTTTACTGGAGTGGGTCTTATATGATCCATCAGACACTCAAAGACAAGGTTTAATCATTTGACCATCCTTTTATAAATCTTGTTCAAATCCCAAATTGTGTTGATTTCAACTACCGAACAGGATAAATCGATCATTTAGTAATTCCAGTACTGATTTTTTTTCGATTTTTTTGTTTTAACGTGAAATGATGCAAAAAAAGCTACTATTGATATAAACAAGGAGTTCAATAGATAAATAAAAGTCAACGATATGAATGTTCCATCCTTTTTGTTGTAGAAACTATTTTTTTAAATTCCATAGATCTACCATCTATTAGTATCTTATTAAAAGATGCTCGTTTTACATGGAATGAAAGCAACGAATCAATATTGAATGTCAATAATTTATCTGTGAAACGTGGTGATTTAGTATTGATATTGGGTCGTGTGGGTAGTGGAAAAACGACACTATTAAATTCACTCTTGGGTGAATTGCTTAAATTACATGGTCAAATTATCGTTGAAAAAGTGATTGAAAATGGTTATGCTTATTGTGCACAAGAACCATGGATTCAACAATTAACATTTAGAGAAAATATACTATTTGGAACGTCATATGATCATGCATGGTATAAACAAGTGATTGATGCATGCGCATTAGAAAAAGATATTCAAGTATATAATAAATAATCTGAGAATAAAATAAATCTATTATTATTGTTTAGTATTTAGGTGATGCAGGTGATCAAACATATATTGGTGAAAATGGTGCAACTTTAAGGTTAGCAATTATCTATTAAATGATTCATAACTTAAAGCACGTACGACGTATCTCTTTTAAGTGGCGGTCAAAAAGCACGTGTTGCACTGGCACGCGCCGCTTATCAAGTATGAAAGATATTTGAAAAACGATTAATTCTAATTATTAAATATATTTTAGGACAAGGATATCTATTTATTGGATGATCCATTGTCAGCTGTCGATGTTAACGTTGCACGTTATTTATTTACGAAATGTATAAAAGGCATTCTGAAACATAAAACTCGTCTACTATGTACACATCAAGTGCAGTATGCTAAACAAGCCGATTATGTTATTTTAGTTGATAAAGGACAAATAGTTAAACAAGGTAGAATAGTAGATTATTTTAATGTATAATCAAGTATTCACCTATGGTTTTATATTTAAAGGTAAACCTGAAGATGTTTTGTCAGTAGCCGAATCATTATTGTTCGGAGATCAAACATCAGAATTGAGTGTAACAACAACAACACCATCACATAAATCTGTAACAGAATTAGATGAACTAATAATTCAACCAGAGAATGCATTACAAACAGAATTAGAACAAAGATGTACAGGTATATAATATCGTCGCATATTTTCTCATATTTATAAGTTTTATAATTTGCCTTAGGAACGGTTAAATTATTTGTATGGAAACGATATTTTATTGCTGTTGGTATCATTTTGTCCTTTTCAATAGTTATATCGGTATTTTTAATGCAAGGTACATATCTGTTCTCATTTAAATCGTAAGAAATGAGATCTATTAAATCTTTTTTGTTTAGCATCTCGAAATATATTTGATTGGTGGTTATCATATTGGACAAGTCATCAACTTGAGATTCGAAATATGTCGATTATTAATAATAGATCATTTGTTATTCTGAATCCAAGCGTGTGAGTAATGCATACACATAATATCAAAACAACATTTTTTCATCTTATTCGCTTCTATTTGACTGATCACTAGCTGGACTTCTTGCTTTGGTTTTAATATAATAAATCTTTTTTTAAATCTTCTAAACATATATAGACATGAGCGAGCGTACGAGATTATATCAGTGAGATATTGTAGTCGAAAAAGATATAATCAAAAATTGTAATAGACAAATCATACATAAGCGACGATAACCATCGACAGAGATGACGTATTTTTTCACTCACTCTTTCAGCTATCTTGCTGACTGTAAGATTATGTTACATACTCATTGTAGGGCCTCTAATAGCAAACATGTTATCAAGTATGTAAATCTATTTTGATCTTATCAGCAGGTCCATGTAATGCTTTCATTCTCTTCATTAAAAAATGTTCAAAGTGTCGAATTTTATATTTTATTTTACATTTCCATAGATAATCCAAAAATATTCAATAACGAAAGATGTTTAGAAAATGTATGTGTAGTTAAGCTATGCTAGTTATTGAGAGACAAAATTTCTTTTCATACAATCATGGTAACATTTCAAAATCCTTGCCGTTCTCTCTGCCGCTCTGCCGGGGTACAACGGATTTATTTTAATGACATTTCGATATTTAGTAGAAACATAACAACTATTTAGACATAGAGGTTTAACTTCGGCGTTATTCATGTTTAACAGTTTGTAAAAGTAGTATAATAAAATGAATTTCTTCTATTTCTTGACCGTTTTTGGTCGGAATAACTTGCTATTGAACATGGTAGTAGACCGAACATTTTTCTACACGCTCATGTAAAAATCTTTAGAAATTCTCAAGCCAGTTTTGAGCTAGATCCAAAATGCGACGAGCTCTATCAAAATGTCTCTATAAATGCGACGAGCTCCATCTAAGTGTCCGCATTTGGATCTGGCTCAAAATTGTTCGGAGATTTTCAAAAGATTTTTACATGGGCGTGTAGAAAAATGTTCGGTCTACCACCGTGTTCAATAGCAAGTTATTCCGACCAAAAACGGCCAAGAAATAGCAGAAAAAGGATGAAAACTTTAAAGAGTGTCTCTAACTACCCCAAAGTACTCTAAAGGTATGTGTTTTTGATAGGTTGATAAATGAATAATCTTTTGAAGCATAGTGGTTAATTGTCTTTGATTAATTGTAATCAAATCAATTAGAAAATAAAATAAAGTTTCTGTATACATCTATATAAAAATTATTATAAAATGAAATGTTGTTTCAATAAATTTATCTACCAAAATATATTTCATACATATATCAAAAGGAACTAGGCATGTACCAATACCAATCGTTATTGGAGATATTGTACAATACTATTGGGTATCCAATAATATTCGGATCCAATAATATTGGTCACCCAATCTATTGGAACCAATAATATTGGTCACTCAGTATATTGGGACCAATAATATTGGATTCCGCAGTACACTGGATTCCAACCTTTTAATCTTAATATCACTTACATTCATAAAAACGTGGGGAAGCATATCTTGATCGGGATTAGGCATGCACCGATTAATAATCGATGTTAGGGCATCCAGGAAAGTCTTTCCAAATCAGTTGTAAAAACGCACTTAGAGCTGTCGAATGTCTCATTTTGTAGAAAAATGTTTGCTCTACCAGTGAAGTGCAAAAAGA